GCATGCTGTGCTTCGAAAAAGTCGACGTCTCAAGCAGTTGTTTCGTAATGAACGTCTCGACCTACATCGCGACAAATCGAGCCGCAACCAGTGAGATTTGGGAGTCCGTTTGAATGGGTGTTACCGTAATCCTGGTTATGATTAGAGCGCGTTAATGAATTGGGGCATGATTCGAGGGGACCTCCAAGCCAATAGACTTCCAGTAGTCAAAAGAGAATGAATTAATTGCTTTATGGTATTACGTTTATATAGATTTATAGTAAACTTCAGCAAATAGACTATCCTGTAAGTGGTTTTTATGCAGCTGGTAGGTAGATTTTATGAACCAGGTATTCTAGAAGATTGATCTACATCAAAGATTTCCGAAGAAGATGTGAATAAAATCATGTCTACGCGCTAACGTACGTGAGAGGAATGGGATAGGCCGCGTCTCTGTATACCTTCCCCAAAAAGACTTTGTCTTAGAGCCCATATGACCAGGGTTGCCATAGGGTAGTCCTGCAGAGAAAACATAGTATCCACTGAGCCTAAACCCCGATTAGGGAAAGGGGTAAGGAAAAGTTGGCGGATGGTTCTCATTTGCCCTCCCTCCCCCACCCAACTACGTTAGCACCATTTGTGTAGACTGTTGTCTGAGGGTGATAGGGCGTGTCGGCGCGCTGCGGTTGGCGCGGCATCAACCCGTTTTTCACTTGGCTAGCGACTTAAACAACTGCTGGAGAATGGATCTGACGGCGTGCCAGATGCAGCCGTGAGCTAACCAGGCTTGACTTCTTAGGATTCTTAGGAAAACCATCAATTTCCATGCCGTGCTTTAGCTGCAGTTCAGTTTCTCATTTTGTCTGCAGACAGAATGTTTTCGAGAATGCGTGAAACTGCCTTTAGGCGTCAAGTATACCGCGTTCGTTCTTCGCTACGGCTGCGATCGCTCAAGCTGTAAACCATGAATACTTCTAAAAAGTGGAGTTTCATCCGCACAGAAATTAACTTACGCATTTTTTGCTCTGCGAAGATCAGCGATGTACTCATAGTTGGGAGCAAGTTTGCCATCAGTCGTGATTATAGCACCTTTCACTTCTTCACGGCAACTCAAGCGATCAAACGGTTGGTCGGTGGCACAGTTCAGCTGCAAAATGTTTACGGGCACTGCACAAAGATACACTATTTTTTTTATCAAGCAAGACTTTCACACTGTCGAACTTTTTCAAGATAGGAAATTTTCCAGCTTTCGGCAGTAAGCACGGTAGTTGGACTACATCTTGTTCGCTGCGGAAGTTGAGTGTGTCAGGGGCTAGGTTTGGCACAGTGCCACTTCGTTCCCCAGCAACTGTTAAAGAGGCAAGCGACAATAAATGGTGGAAAACGGGCTGGCTGCGCGCCAAGCTCAGCACTCTCCCCCTGACAGTCCCAGATTCCGCAGCGAACAAGGCTGTATGGGTAAAACTCAGCGGAAAAGGAGGCCTCGCGTCTGAGCAAGTGATGTGTAACATATTTCGCTATGGAAGGCGCTCTCGATGAGGTCCAACAAAGTCCTACAAGGTCATGAGATCTGCCTTCCACAAGAAAGAAGGTCCCTATTTCGCGGAGTTCTCACATTTGCGCCCTACTTTCTTCAACCTCTCGCTATACAGCACCTTCACTCCCATTTCATTTCACTTTGAAATGGCAGCAAAATTACAGTGTCTACGGTCATTAAGAAGGTATCTTATCAAAGTGTTCAAAGCACTAAAGTGATCTACCAAGGAGCAACAAAGGCGCAACCATTTTTATGGCCGATAGAAAAAGAACGTCTTCCCTGAAAGAAATCAGGCGCTTCACCTGGACGATAAGACAGTGTGGTTTGCGTATCAAACATCAGAAATCATAGCAGGAATAGAGGAACTCACCATATCGAAGATGTACGGATAGAGCAGGTCACCGAACTGCGACGTTGCTTCCAAAGGCATCTGTGCCGGCATGTTGTCAATGCTGCACACCAGGCAACCCGAAGGAGAATCGAAACTGCAAACGACTAACTTTTGTTGAAAATGCCATGGTAATTTGAATCATTGTTACACACTGTGAAAGTATTGGCCGATCTCTTGCATTATGTTCCTACTGACTACTTCCAGGATAAAATCATGAATATGCGCAACCAATGCCGGCAAAGTGGCACTATGGTCGGTGCTGGTGTAGCACAGGTACACTAAGCGGTACTTCCAAATATTAGCGGCCGTAGAAGGTGTCATTGACGTCACATGACACGTTTATGACGTTGTCCAGATGTCAATGACAAATGTTATACAATGCGACCGATTCGGTTCCCCGTTATATTACTAAGTCTTATGAGAGTCTGTGTGTTTTTTTTTTTCTTTATGCTTCGCGACTGGGTCGCTCTAATCACGCGAGCTGCCGGTGCTAACAGTTGGCGGCCGATGAGCGATCTTATGCGAACAGAGCGAGCAAACCTGTCGCAGTGATGAACACAGTTTGACAGGTCATTTCCTCCAGCACGTTCGCCCACTACTAGCTAGACTAGCTAACTACTTATTTTATACAGTAGCGACCGGCATCTCTCGTTTAGTATCTATTTAGATGTTGTACATTGCTGACGTAGTTGTTCTCGAACGTAACAAACCAGCGATCTCAATAAGCTTCGGATGGAACTTCCAAAGAATGTCTCTAATCCAACTGAATGTGTACCAAGACAATCCTGGGGAGCCGCGCCCACACGAAAGCGCCAGTGAAGTCCCGAGCTATCTGGCCTAGGGCTTGGGCTAATGCCGTTTGGACTCCAGCAACTTCGGCACCGAGCTCATTTTTAAATTACCTAAGTCGCCAAACCCGCTGAAAATATGTACACAAGGGTTATTTACCATCCTGATTACAATTATGACACTCATTCTTGGCGCTGGCGCCAAGGGATGACACTACGATTACCTCTTGGGCTCAGCCTTAGCGGAGCGCAGGTAATCGTAGTGTCATCCATTAGCGCCAGCGGCAAGAGTGAATGTCATATTCGTAATCAGGATGTTAAACTACCCCTACATACAAGTTTTTAGCGGATTTGGTAACTTAGGCAATTTAAAAATGAGCTCGGTGCCGAAGTTGCTGGAGTCCAAACGGCATTAGCCGGGCCTTAGGACATCTGTCGGCCGCGCAGCCTTCCTCCTTCCTTTTTCCTTCCCTCGTTCCTTCATTTTCTTCCTTCCTTCTCTCATTCTTCTTCTTTATTTTCCTTCCTTTATATGCTCGAGCAGAAGATGCAATGAGGAAACACCTGTGGACCCTCACAGTGAGAGAGCATCCGGTTGACAGATGTCTTGTAACCATCTGGCTAGTGACTTCGTCATGTAAGGAGCAGCACTGGATTGCCCGTAATCCCCACATGTAATTTCGGCTCCGTGGAAAAACTCACCCATGCGCGTTGCGGCGCGAATCCTTGACCTCATCGCGGCGGCAGGGCGAAGCGGCGAAAGGCGATGGGCCTCCCCACTGTGCTCCAATAAGCCGCCTCTATGTGGAAGGAGAAAGAGAGAAAAGAAGAGAGAAAATGAGTGAACAGTTTGTGGATGCCTACAGGTGTCAGTTGTGGTGTGGTCAGAGAATACTAGAAAAGTCGACGATTTAGGTGAATTACTTTGCTGAAAAAGACCAAGCAGCTCATACGCAAACGTTTGTTTGGCAGATTGCGAAACAGTGTGACCTTATAACGGTATTACGTTTGCGTCGTTCCCATAATCAAGGGAACTATTTCACCAATTTGCCGTTTACTGAAGTAATTCGTCATGCTAGTCGACTTTTCTGTATTTTCTCACCACTACCACTAACTCACCTATACGCATCCACTGTTTAATCAATCCTCTTTTCTCTCTTTTTCCTTCCACATAAAAGCGGCTAGTGATCTGAACACAGTGGCGGAGGCCATCGCCCTTCGCCCCGCCCTGCCGCCGCGCTGCCGTCGAAACCGCGCTGCATACGAGCCCGGGTGAGTTTTTCCCTCCTCTGGCCAGCATACAACAGCGGCACATCGTTTGGTTGGGGATCCCCAGAAACAGGGGGGTCGTATTTGGCCGCCAGGAGAGGGGGTCGTAGTGAGTGCGGCAGCCAGTAACGAGCAGCGCAAATTGTCAATGTGCTGAGTCCTGTACAACGAAACTTGCTTTGTAGAGAACTCGGATATGCAAAAAATAGTACAAAACTTTCATTCATCAAACTAATCCGAAATAACTGCAAATATTAATAAGTCGACATTATCTCGTAAGTCCGTTGGTGACTAAACAGTACAAACAGTCAAACTCTGGTTCGCTGCCAATGATATGGCGTGTCCGCGGTCACGCTTGGCGCTGAGCCAACCTGTTTTTTTCTCGACAAGCGACAGGACTACCATATCGTTCATATCAGACGTTTTCCAGCAGTTGGTCTCCTTTATCGGAGTCAGCGATTGGCAGAGCACGAATCTGGCAGCGTTTGACAGGACATGCTTCCAGTCATACCGCAACGGAAAACACTGTAAACAAGTGCACAGGCTCGCCATGGACCTCCCTGAACCTTATAGACACATTTGCTCGCGTGAACAGACATTACGCACAAGTTGCACCATCCCATCACCTCTGCGCGGCCCTCAGTGCGCGGCGCATCCAAAGTTGGCGTGATCGGCGCTAAACGAACCATATCCTGCTCCTGCTCCACCACAGGATACGTTCTACATGCGTTCCTGGCTATTCGAACACGCTCACTTGGAACGGTACACAGGAAACGGGTTTTTCGCGCAGCTGGGAGTGTTCCTCAAGAAATCCCATAGCGAGATCTCATGAATCCCGAGAGCTTCAGAAACAGTTCAAGAGGTTTTCAGAAAGAGAAAATCTTCAAACACTTCGGATCCGTTCTCAGATTTGTGAAATGTTGAGTTACAAAAAAAAAAATATATTGGTTCAAACCTGTTCAACTTAAACTTCAACCCTTCACTCCCCATGGAATCCCTATGGGCAGATTTCTCTGTGACTTTTGCGACCTTCATAAACGTTTCAGTACATTTAGGAAGTGCAATCCTTCCTCTACACGAATACGGTCTCCTCTTCCCCACAGGTCCGCTTTTGAGGAAGTTATGGTCCTTCAAAGACACCCTACTTTGCTGAAAATTCTCGCTCCATGGCTAAAATTGCCGAACGATCTGCGGTCACATCTGCAATTACATGCGCTTCTGCTACCGTACTCCAATAATCGGGGTAATGCATTTTTACGGCGGTTTGTATAACTGTTACGTAGTGAGACAAGCCTAACTTTCTCTTTTCCTCGTCCTCAATCTTGGGAATAGACGTTGTTAACACTGTGGTCGCTGATGGCCGCTCCCAGAGAGGGAGTTCACCTCAGGTTAACGAATGCTCATTGAATTTAATCGCGATATATTGTTATTATTACCATGTGTGTTTCAAAACGGCCATCGAAGAAGTTCATCATACGAGTTTCTCATAATACGATTGTACCGTTTTTTGTTTGCAATCATCTCTGTATTGTTCTTATTATGTCATGACTTCAAGTCGTCCATTTAGTATGGGCACCTTCATACAAGTAGAATTTCATAGTGGGCGTTTCATAGTTTCATTTAAGGCGAAAAAAACCGAACGGCAAAAAAAGGGGGGGGGTCGTACAGGCTCGACCAAAATCCCCATCGAATGCTGTGCCCTGATGCAACATAGCACACTCGCGGCTCGCTAGTCGCGCGCCACGCCCACTGGCGCTGCCGTCGGACAAAATATCCTGCACGTCCCCTAGTCCAACTGGTAACATACCTGTCACTGCTAGTATGGAAATCGGCATCATAGATCATGAAAGGCTTGTCGATTGTAGTGCATTCTGTCATGAACTCGATTGAACCTCCCGGATCCGCAGAAATATCGCAGATTGCGACAAGTCGATGAGGCAACGTTGGACATCCAGGCATATCATACTGAAATCTAATCTTTGAGTGGCGCTGTCACAAAATGAGAAAAGAGCACATGAGTAGGATCGTTAATCCTTTATGGCAAAGGAAAAGACGTGATGAAACCTGCTACCATTTTATGAAGCTCGGACAGTCTTGGAGTTGAATGCACACTTTCTCTCTAAACTCAGTCCACTTAGTCATGTTTTTCTCCGCACTCTTCCGTTTGCATGGAGTTCTATGACCACTGAAACCTCATACATTCATCGCTTTCACGCAAAAGATAACAATTAAGATTGCCCTTAACAACCCCCACTCCTCCAAGACTTGAAATTCCATTCCCTGGTAGACACGAAAGGGTGTGCACAGTGCTTAAAACACTCCCTACTAGACTGTTTTTGGGTGGTTTGTTTTCAACCTACCATTTTTATCCTATTGGTCATTGAGGAATAAATGAGAAGGTATGTTACTCAAATTGCTCCTACAGTCCCTTACATTCCCCGGGTGCAAAAGCATACACTGACAACGTTGGAACACAAGAAACTGCCATATAGCTCTGCAAGTATGCGCGTGCAGCACGGTGTCACACAAGTTAGGGTGATGATTATTGCGCAGTATGCGGTACGCAATAGGTTGACCCTGCTCGTCTGCGCTCTCTCATCAAGATAGAAATCTCTCCCCCGAACAGGTTCATCAGAAAGGGTTTCCCGGTCCGGATTGTGCCCAGATGCAGAAGGTAGTAAAATAATCCCTAGCTAGTCGATACGGTATGCAGCAGCACTTCCACAAGAAAGGTCGGGAGAAGTCTAGGACGAACGGCGCGCACACAAAATTACTTGCAACTGGGCCTCGTGGAAGACACCCGGCTCAACCTCGTAGAAAGAAGAACACAGTGGAAATAGCACGATTTTTTTTGCATTCCTCCCGAATCATTCAGGAGTTTATTGCTTGCACAAGGAGGAATTGTACCTGGAAGCAAAAAGAATAAAAAAAAAGTCGGGCGAATAGGCTGTGGAACAGTT